CAGGGATTTGCCTCTGACAGTTTCCCAGGCCCAGGCTTCTGCAAATAGCTATGGACTGTGGATTCCCTATGGTGCCTGACCAATGTTGGCCCCGGGGGGATCCCAGGAGAACAGGGGAGCAATTTTTCCTAGTGCCAACTTATCTGCAGGTCAGACACTTCTCATGTCCCCTCCTGCTCTGATGTTTTAGTCACCTGCCCAGAGGAACATGGCTGGATGCCACAGATGAAACTAATGCACCCCCCCCCCCCCCCGCCGCAGCTTGTATTTCTCACCCAACCCCACCCTGCTCATTATTTTTACCCAGGGGGAAGCAGCAGAGGGTCCCGATGGTGACCCCGAAACCAAATCCACTGCCCTTGAAATAGTCCCGCATGACCGGGGGAACACAGGCTGGCAGGCCCTCAGTGCTGAGTTGTCTTGGCTGTGGACAGGGGTCTCCTGGGGAGGCAGAGAAAGCTAGAGACCTGGGGGAGTGCTGGGCCACAGGCTCAGGCACAGCACCACTGAGGAGGTTAGGGTGGCAGAAAGAAGGTGGTAGCTCTGGGTACCAGAGGGGAGGTGACTGTTTATCCCTGCCATTGTGCCAAGAATGTGGTATTTCCTACTTGGGTACCAAGTGTGGTCCAAAATGAACCTCAATCTCTATCTCTCCCTCATATACACATATGTACACACACACACACACACACACACACACACACACACACACACACAGAATCCTTCCCTCATCTCTGCTATGGGGTTGGGATTTCCTCACTACACTCAGCCCTCCTAATGTTCTACCCACCCCCAGCCCCATCCCAGCTGAATGTGAGCCTCCTTACGAGGTCTCTCTGAGCCTCAGTCCTGCTCTCACTTGGGCACCTCCTGGAGTTGTGCAGAGGGGAACCTATACAGCTGTGTGTTACAACCTTGGTGCCAAGATCCACAGTTTCCAAGGCCAGAACCATACATAGCTCACTGCCCCTTGGAGGTTACTGTCCAGCTGCACAGAACCAGACCCACAGCTGAGGAGGAAGGAGATTCCAGACCCCAAACTCCCCCCAAGTACCGCCTGGCCACTCACCTGCATGCCAGAAAAAGACATTGGGCTGCAGGGCACTGGCTTCCACGTTGGTGACAGCCACTATCACATCCCATAGGGAAGTGTTTCTGATCTCTGCGATCTCATCCTCGGAGAACAGCCTGGGGGTCGGGGTGGGGTGTTCTTAGAGTGGGAAAGAGATGCAGGCCCCAGGCCCAAGGATCCAGATGAGGAAAGAGACCCAGAGGGGCTGGGGAGGTGGCTGGGCCAACTGGGAATCAAGGGACGATGGGGGCTGTTTACAGGCAGAGGGTCTGGGCCCAGGCCCAGCTGGAGTCTGAGGTGGGGGCCCAGACAGGCCTTACCCATTCCTGGTGTTTTCAAACCAGTAACGGTCACCATCCCGCAGCCGCACAAACTGGTCGAGGACTATGGTGCTGAAGAGGGGTCCAGGGTCCCCGTGGCTCTCCAGGAGCCCCCCAGGGAGCATCTCCAGCAGGGACAGGTCCTGGTTGTACAGAGCAGCTGTGGCTTCCAGCACCTGGGGCCAAGAAGGGACAGGAGTGAGCGTAAAGACCTGGAACTCACCCTCAGGCAAAGAGGTGGTCCCCAGGGATCAGTCTCAGGGATAATAATCATAAATGACAGTAACAATAACTCACTTATTATGCCCCAGGCACTGCTCTGAGTGCTTTACATAAGTTAACTCATTAGGGGAATTCTCTCACAGATCAGCTGCCTATTTTACAAAGTTGGAATGAAAGAGTCAGCCAGTCCCCTATGTAACTTATTCTTGAAAAGGTATAAAATTTGAAGGATCAGTGCAAATGTTAAACGGTAGAATGATATGTCAGAAAAGATTTCTATTCTTTAGATCTAAAAAAAAAAAAAAAAAAAATGTTTATAAAGATCAAATCCCTACATAGACATTGCCTTTTAAAGACAGTCATCAACAATATATGAGAAGCATATCCTACCTGACCTTTACTTTAGTTCTTTTCTTCACAGTGTAAATAAGCACTTGACCAGCTTAATTCCAAAGAGGCACCATTGAAGCTAAAAATGTGCTACTTTGAGTATGCCTGGGCATTCTTATCTTTATGTTGCTGTTATGAAGTTTACAAGCCCCACACACATATCACTTCTTTATTGGTCTTTCAATTCTCCACTTTCCAACAGTTTTATAAAGCAGTAAGGGCAAAGGCAATATACTTGTCATGTAATTGTAAAAACACTGCTGCGCCATGATAGTAAGGCACCTGAAACTGGTCTGTTGGCTGGCAGGCAATGCCACTCACCCAGGTGATAGTTTAGGGTGTGAGATCTGACTCCCCAAAGGCAGCTTGAATACTAGTGCACAAAATTACAGCTTGTTCCTGAGTCAAGGACCTTCTATATCCTCAGGGAATCATTGGGAAGAGTAAATGAAATAATGTCTGTTAAGTGCTTGGCATGCAACAGATGCCCAATAAAGATTTGCTGGATCTGCACAGTCAGAGTCTAAAGCCAAATCCTGGTCTGGTAACCTCCAGCCTGGTGTGTGATACTGGGAAGAGCAACCTGGCTGAGCCCTGCCTCTCTCACGAGGTGCTTGTCTCTGGTGCCTAGGTCTCACTGCCCATTTTCTGTGTCTCAGGCCAGTGTGCCCTGGCCCTCCCACCCTGCCCTCTTGGGTCCCGACCCCTCCTCACAGTGCCATCACTTTGGAAGAGTGCAGGGTTGATGTCCTGCCATCTGGTAATGGAAGGCAGGCCCAGTGCTGCCCTGGCCTTGGTGTAAGAAGGCAGGCCCAGGTCCCGGCCCCGCTGCAGGCTGCTGGCCAAGTAGTCTGTGCGGGAAAACTTCAGTGGCCCGGGCCAGAAATCTGTGAATTTGATAGCAGAGAGTCTCAGGAAGCTCAGCAACATTATAGCTCCTGCAGCCCATGCCCCAGGCTCCAATCAGCCCCAGGGGGACTTGAGCCATATGGAGGGAGCTGTGGCCATCAGGTCAGAAGCTCTCTCAGCAGAGAGGCAGTGCAGGTTCCCTCTCTGGATACCCTCTCTGCCTGACTCTGGAGCTCCAGCTGAACCTCCTCCCTGGGGCAGGAGTGCACAGCTTGCGGAGACAGTCGTGGCCTCACCTCGCACATCCTCAACCACCACATGGTCCTCTCGCTCAGCGATCTGGGAGGCCATGCCCAGTAGCAGTGCATCCACGTTTTCAGCTCTTTGTAGGTTTGGGTGCTATGAGAGTGACGAGAGGAGAGGGGTGTGGCTAATGGGGCCAGAGTTTGGGCAGCCAGGCTCCCTTCACCTCATAGTCTATGCCCTCCACTCAGTCCTGCTGCTCATTACCAAACCAGTGGGTCATTCCTCTTCCCCAAGTAGATTCCCCACTCATGGTGAATGATATCCGCATTTAAAGCCCATGCCACTGGGAGACAGGTTTCCATAGCACAAGGGACCAAAAACTTTATTTCTTCTATATTAGGAGACTTGAGAGTATGATTGACAGAGACACTAGAAGATTTAGGTCTTGATTCTTGTTCTGTTTACTAACCAGCCATGTGATTGTGGTCAGATCATAAGATCTCCCTGAATTCAGTGTCCTCCCCTTACTAAAAAAAAACATTAGAAATTAATAAAATAATAAAATAAAATTAATAAAGTAATAAAAAGGTATTAGGAGGACACTAAGGTCTCTTCCAACTTAGCTCCATGACTCTGATCCTACGCCTTCCTCTTCTCTCTTTTCTTCCCTCCTCCCTTGCTGTCTTATGAACACTACACAAACTATCTGAGTTTGCTTTAAATTCATGATTAATGCTCTTGACTCCTACTGACCTGGTTTGGATGGACAGTCTGTCCCTGGTAATTTCTGAATCCTTCACTCCTTCTTACCCTCAGCCCACAAAAACACATTAATGTGGTGCCCTGGGTGTGTCTAATTGGAAAGTTTCCTTGGGGGCTGGGATGAATGGGGTACTCCTAGGCCTACGGGGGACCCAGGGCTGTTAAGGGAGAAGAAACATCCAGGAGAAAGCAATAAACGTAGAGCTATTCTTGCACAGGCCCCACCATCTTCCACACAGTCCTGAGGTGAGAGTAGAGGGTTGACTTTTAACTATGTACAGCTACCTGGTTATCTCAGACACTGATAGGGAAGATGGCTTTGGTCCCCAGGCTGCCTCCTCTGCCCCAGCTCATCCCAGGTGGCTGCCTCAGCCTTACTGCCCACCTTCACCACACACCATAATACACATGTACACACGAGAACACACAACACACATATAACAACCCACATATATGTCTCCAGCCCTGACCTCTCGGCTCCAGTAGCTGTTGCAGACCCGGAGAGCTCTGGAGAGGCTTGAATTCTGATTGGTGACCCTCTGGAAGTGACAGCTGGCATTTCTGAAATACAAGAAGCAGGGGAGTGGTGACTGGTATCTCAGGGTTCTAATGTCAGGCATCAGCTCTGGTATCCACGGCTGTAGCTAGGGGCCAGACCATTGCTTCCCTGAGATGACATGTGGTCAGGGTAGGTCCTGAGCAGTCTGATTTTTGGTGCATGGGTCCATGCTCAACCATTCAGCCACACCAGCTGAGTTTGAAAGAATTTTTTATTGTTCTTTTGAAATTACTTGTCTATGGATAACTTGATTGATATGATTCCTTGGCCATCATCAAGCATATCCAGAAATTGTTCCAGTGTAAGAAAATCTAAGCTATGTAGACCCAGAGTCATAGAAGTAGGGTACAGATTGGCAATCCTCAAAAGAAGTGGTGGGGGAAGTGAAGAGATAAATCACAGAACTTATATGTATGTATGCATAACAGATGGACATAGACAACAAAGCTGGGGAGGGGGGGGTTGGGGAGGAGGGTGTCAGTGGGGAAAAAAGGAGAAACATCTGTAACATAAATAAATTTAAAAAAAGAAAATCCAATCTATAAATTATTTTAAATTATAAAGTAAATGTAAAAAAATAATCGAGGGTAGAGTCATGCTTGGGCTATTGCCTTTGTGTGCTAGAGTCCTTGAAGAGCAACTACTGACCTTATTCACTGACTGTGGTCCCCTATGGCATAGTCAGTCACCAGGTTAGTGACATGTATCAGATTGATCTATACAACTGTTAGATTTGCTAACTGTGCCCACAAATTAGGGGATGATATTTTAACTATTGTTTAGAAGATCTCTATTATTCAGGGACTTATGAACCCGGTTCCATGAAATAAAGCTAGTCTTTTCCTCCTGAAAGTCTTTGGTGGGCTTTTTAGAAAGATTTGTTTATTCAGGGGGAAAAAATGGACATGTTTTGCATTGTATACATTTAATTGAATGTATATTTTTAGCTTAAAGTTCCCTTTTCATTATTGTGGAGCCAGTATTTTCTTTAGCACTCACGTATATTTATTATAATGTCCCCAAAAGGTTTATAAACCCCAGGTACTGTGTTTACAGCTAAAAATGCCCCCAGGCTAGTGTCAAGAGTTGAAGTTCAGACCAATAGGTTTTGTGACTCACCCTCTGAACCTTAGCCCCTCTTAACCTGGGGAATTAATATCTACACCAGCTGCAGGAAAATGGACATAAAAGTGCTTTAAAACAACAATGATGTATCTTTGCAAACAATTGTTTTTATTCTTCCCTTCCATAGTCACTGTTCCCCGGGGAGATGGGCACGACTTCAGACTGATAATCCTGTCCTGAAGAGTCCTGAGAGCAATTTTTTTCAAATGACAACCCACACCCCAATCCCACCCCAACCCCACCCCCACACATTTGAGCCCTCCTTCACCTCATGTAGACGCCAGGGGGCACCATGGTGGAGAAGAACTGCTCAGAGGCTGCCAGGAACTCCGGAGAGATGCTGGGGTCCAGGAAAGGGCGGTACCCTGCCCCACAGGGGTAATAGGAGAAATATGCTCCTTAACCCTCCATCCTCCCATAACGTGCACCCACCCGTCTACGTTAACCCTATGGATCCTAACCACGAACTCCCCTCAATGCAGGTGCCCCCCCCTTCCCCCTAACACCCTTACCTGTATATTCTGGGGGTGTTTTTTGCAGGAAGCTGGGCAGCCACTCATACAGAACAATGTTCTGAAGATCAAGAAAAGGGAAAGGGAAGGTGAATGCTCCAACTGTCAGGCCGGGAGGGATCTGAGCCCAAGGAAAGCTTAAGTGGCAAGTTGTGACTGGGCAGGGGCAGTCGTGGGGAAGGCAACTCAAATAGGAGAGGTGCTGAGGTCAGTCCTCCCCCAAAACAAGGAATCGCGGGGGGCAGCTAAACCTCTTGTGTAAAGGGCACTTCGCCTCCTTATCATTCCTAGACATGAGCTCTCTGGGGAGGGGTGGACTCCCGGGAAAGGGTGTTTCTGGGTGGCGGATGACCAAGGATGGAAGGCTCTGCGGGGCAGCAGAGTCTCCTGTGGACCAGGAGGAGTTGGGGGTGGGGAGGGCCTTGTCACCGACCTGGTAAGTGGCGATGACCCTCTTGCGTGCGTGCTGGAACAGCTCCTCGTCCCCCCAGCGCGGGTGCTCGCGGGCCAGCCTCCGCGCGCACAGGTTGTGGTAGCGGAACCACAGCAGGCCCAGCGCCTGCAGGAAGGGATCGCGGTTCCCTCGCTCCGCTCCGAAGGCTGCATCGGAAGTGGAGACGCAGGGGAGGGGGTGAGCGGCGGTGGGACCCAGGGGAGCGCCACCTCGCAGACCCCAGCCCGCCTCCGGCCAGCCCCGGCTGCTCAGAGCCTTCCGCCCCTCCTGCGCCCCAGTCGGCCCCGAAGCCTCACCGTACAGCCCCCGGGGCCCGCCTTGTCCCGTGGCGGGGTCGGGCGGGGTCCACATGAGCAGGGGGCTCTGCGCGTCCCGGGGGAAGGCGGGGTCGGACCCCGACGCCAGCTCTCCCCCGGAGAAGCTTCGCAGCGCGTCGCTCCAGGAGTGCGAGGAGCCATAGATGGCGCTGCCGTCCAGCCAGCCCGTCACCTCGTTGGTCTGCGGGGCAGGGCACAGGGGAGCAGGGGTCGGGTAGTCGAGGCGCGTAAGGGAGGGCCAGGGCCAGGGCCAGGGCCAGGGCCAGGCGGATGTCCGTGGGTCGAGGGTGGGACCTTCTCTCCACGCGACCCTGCCAGCCCCGGAGCCCAGAGCTCCACCTGCCTGGGACGTAGCTCCTGCCCCGCAGTCTGCCTAGTCTCACCAGGTCTCGGGGGTTGCTGGGGCTCTGTCCGGTCTTGGGATCCCAGCGGCTCCTCTGGAAGGGCAGCACCACGTCCCCGCGCCGGTCGGGGTCGAATACGGGGTCTCCCGGTGGGATGCGGATGTTGAGGAACTCGGCGGGGCAGCCAGGTCTCTCTACACTCACCAGGTCCGAGAGCACGTGGTAGCCTGCCCGCATTGGGGAGGGCATTGTAGGGCCAGCTAAGGCCACTCTGTTTTCTTCCCCTGGTCTAGTTCCTACACCCCCAGTTCCACGCTTCAAAACACTCAACAGCCATTGTGAACAAGTCCCAACCTTGACTTGGCCCATCCCTTCCCAATGCTTTGTTACACCCTGGTCCAAACTGTTTTCATTGCCAGTTTGGCCTTCTCCTTGGAAACTGGGAGGTGCCCAGTGAATGTCTAGGCTGTTGGGAGCAGCCTGCCCAGAGAGCCTGCCAGCCTCAGTAACATGGTGGACACTGCAAAACAAGTGTGGGCACCCTGAATGGGCAGCAGGAGCCTGGCATTCCTGCTGGGAGCCAACAAACCAGTCTCTGGGATCAGGCAGCCCTAGCACCCCCAATTCGAAACCCCCCCACCTCCCTCCAGGATAAGAACCCTGCCCTGAGGCTATCCTAGGAGATACAGAGGCAAAGAGTAAGACTAGCATCCCACCAAGAGTCCCCACCAGATTATTTTCATGCTCCTACCCCATCAACAGCTCAACCTGGGGCACAATTATACCTCCTCCAACCAGACTTCCTTCCTCTGCTCCCACCCCTACCCTCCATCACCTGCCCCTCCATCTTTCTCCCCTGTCTCTCTGACCTCCAACACTTTTCTCCCTCACTCCCTGAGTCTCCCCACAAACATACAGGTATCTAGCTGACCCCACTGGCCTCCCTCCCTTACAGGTTGAAGCCCTTACCAAAGAAGACTCCCAGCACTGTGCGGTTTTGCTGGGAGGCCCGCCCTGCTGGGCCCCTCATGGCGGTGTTGCTGAGGTTTCGGGGATTGGGCAGGTAGGGCTCTCCCAAGGGCTGATACACACCATCGGCATAGGTGGCTGGAACCAGGCGCTGTAGCCGATAGCCTGAGATGGGAGGGGTAGGGACAAGGACCAATCCCTAGAGGGCTCCCTGACCTCCTCTCTCCAAGGCTTCCTCCATACCACAGATCTTAAAACCTTAGGAATAGATGAGCCTTTGCTGGTACCTGCCAGCCCTTGCCCCTTAGCAGTGAGTACCACCCTGACCCTGGGGCTCTGTATCCACTTGGCTCTCACTTACCTTTGCTGCCCCATCTGTGCTCTTTAAGGTTGTTGTACCATCCATCAAATCGCTGCACCTCCCATGAAATGGGGTTCTGAGCTCCTATGTGAGGTTGGAGAGAAGGGGTAGCCAGGCAAGTCGTCCATGAGAGGACGGACAAGCCTGCAGAATATGCATCCTGTGAGCCTGGCACTTGGGTCAGCAGAAAGTGGACACCCAGCACAGATGTGGGAGATAGGGTACAGAGGGAGATAAACAGAGCAGTGATTTCCAAATTCAAGCCCAATTTTTAAGCTATTGGGGTGGGGGGTGGATATGACAGGGAGCACTAACTAAAGGATTGTAGCCACGTGGCCAGGTGCAGTGTGCTGACAAATGGCCTCAGAGAGGAAGAGGAAGCAGAACAGCGACAATGGGAAAGGTAATACAGGAGACTGCCCTCACACCTTAGCTCCCTGGGGGACACAGTAGGACAGAAGCCATTCCAAACCTTAAGACATCATACAGAGCAAGAGCCAGCTATCCCCAAGAGTTAGCCACTCTTCCACTCAGGGAAGGACATGTCATTCTGTGATTCATCCCCAGGCAGGGGCAGTGTGGAAAGAAGCTTGGCCCTCTCCTGCTGAGCAGAGCCCAGGGCAAGGATGTGGGCCACAGGGCTGTGGTTTTGGTCTTTTTTTCCCCAGTTTCTTGGGTGGGATCAGGGACTGATAGTCATGTGGATAACCTTACCCCCTCTTCTTTGGGGGCATCATGTCCCCCTTCAATTTCTCCTCTTGACCCTATTATACTCCAAAAAACTAGGGCTTGGGAGGGAGCACTGAGCTGTTGAGGGAAGAACTTGGGCAATGGGCAGAGGGAAGGGTCCAGAATCAGAAATATGTTGAGGGGGGGTCCTTCTGGTCAGTAGATCAGATGACCAGCCAGATTCCTTTCCCAAATTAGAAGGCTACAGGACTGAGTCCCTCTCTCCTCACCTCAGACAGCAAAGCAAAGAAAAGACTTATCAGCCAGAGGGAGACCCATTCCTCTGATTATCTCCCCACTCAGACCAAGGACAGGATCTCAGAGCTACTCTCCTGCCCCATACACACACACACACACACACACACACACACACACAGATATTTGAACTCAGGAGGAGCAGAATAAGTGACCCCAAAATATGTCACTTTGGCATGTGGATTATTTTGAGCTTAAGGCAATCAGGACAGAGGACTCAAGAAAAAACTTCCTTTCCCTCAACCACCTAAAAAATATTAGATAGGGGGCCTGGACCAAAAGAGGGCTAATACCAGAGATAACTTTTTATTTGTATGGCTGGGCAAACATCTAACCAAACATCTGCTCTTCCCATTGTCCTGTGAATTTCCCTTCTGCCCAGGTCCCTCTCCCATTCCTCAGCTTAGGATGGTAAAGAAGCCTCAACTACCCAATTTGCCCTTGGGTCTCCTGTTTTTATGAAATTCAATTTATTTTTCTCCTGTTAACCTATTTTATGTCAATTTTTTTCTTTTTTATCCTCACTCGAGGACATTTTTCCAGAGTGGGAGGGAGAGAGAAGAAGAGAGAGAGAGAGAAACATCGACGTGAAAGGGACACATCAAGTGACTGCCACCCACACGACCAGCCAGGGCCGGG